GACGTAAGCTCGCCGGCAACTGCGCGCTGTCCCCCCCCCCTCGCCAGGCAATATCGATCGCCGGGCGGTCACATCTCGCCACGCGCTCGAATTGGACAGTGGGCAGGGCAAAGACGACGATTTTTGATAATTTATTACTCGTTAACTATTGCGAAAATTGCAAATGGTTCAGGACTTTTCTGTTCATCTCGATCCGTTCTACCTTCTTACGAGCTCTGGTACAAATGTTATGACTCACCCTGTATATTATAATTACCATTTTTTAAATTAAGATAATGTAAACTGTATAATGGAAGTGAATGTGGAGAAAACCAAGGTGATGAGATGTAGGAAAGGAGGTGGAAGGTGGAAAAAGGTAGAATGGAGATGGAAAGGAAAAGAGTTAGAGGAAGTAAGAAAGTTCAGGTATTTGGGGTACATAGTGATGGCAAATGGAAGAAGTAAGGAACACATAAAGGAGAGGCTGAGAAAAGAAGCGGTAGTAATGAGGGAAGTATGGGGAATAGGAAAAAGAAAGTTTAGAGATGATTGGTCGAGAAGGTTATGGCTGTTGGATAGACTAGTATGGACAGCAATGAGCTATGGAGTGGAGATATGATGGTGGAGGGAGAGAGAGGAGGTTGAGAGGATGCATGATAGATATTTAAGATGGGTGACAGGAGTGGAATGGAATACGCCGGGGTATATGGTAAGAGAGGAGCTGATGAGAGAAAAAATTAGGGGTAGGGTGAGAATGAGGGCTTGGGGATATGAACGGAAGTTGGGAGAGAGAAAAGGGGGGAGGAGATGGCGAGATGGTGTTGGGAGGAGTGGAGGGAGAAAGCAAGAAGGGGGAAAGCGGTAGGAGAATGGGAAAGGGAAAGAATGGAATTCTTTGAAGAAAAAGGGTGGAAACTGGAAGAGGTAAAGAGGATGAGAGATAGGGAAGAGATAAGGGGGGAGGAGATGGTAAGAAGGAAAAAAGCTGGCAGGAGGAAGAAAGATAGCGGAAAATAGTGGAATCGAGGACGAATATATTGGTATAAAAGGATAAAGGAAGAAGGAATACCAGAATATTTGAAGAAGGGTTAGAAGGAAGAAAGATAGCAGAAGGTAGCGAGGTTTAAATTAGGAGAAGAAAAGAGAAGTAATAGGTACTGGGAAAAGAGAAAAAAGGAAATGGAGGGTGTGTGAGTGGGAAGAGGAAACTCCCACACAGCACGGGGAACTCCCGGGGAGCTCCTGGGGAGCTCTTAAAATTGGTCATAAGCTTCATTTGAACTTCAAACGAATTCGCACGGAGCCCCCTGAGAGCTCCTATGTCCGCTTTTGAGAGCTCTCTGGGAGCTTTATTTAAGTTCGCAGGGAGTTTAGATGAGGCTCCCAGGGAGCTCTCAAAAGCGGACATAGGAGCCCCCGAGGAGTTTTATTTAAGCTCGCAGGGAGTTCAGAAAACATGTTTTAAAAACTCTCTGCGAACTTAAATGAAGCTCCCAGGGAGCTACGTGCGAGTTCGTTTAAAGTTCAAATAACCCAATAAACACAAGTACGTCCTATGTACGTACAATGAACATCCATGCCGGATATTGTGTACATACATCGAGCGTCCATATCAGTTGCAGCTGACGTACAAAGAACGTCCATTGTACATCCATTTGCAACTCCAATAGACATCCATAAGTTGTCCATTAATGAACATTTATGGATGAATTATGGATGAATTATGGATCGTAAATGAATAAACTATGAATCTAATGGATGAACTTTGGACTTTTTATGGACAAAATTGAAATCTCTACTGGATACATTCCCGGGCAGAAATTTTAGTAGGGTGAAAATTCAATTTTTTAAACTAATTTTTAAATTGTGTTAAATTACATAGTCATCAAAAGTATATTCAGGTTATTGAAGTTTATCCATGATCCAACAACTCGCTGTCGCATCATATCGGCTCGCCTCTTATACTAATACGGGATGATTTTTACTTAT